TAACCATATGTATATAGTCGTATAGTTTGTCACTATAAAAATAAAATAAAATTTTAAAATTTCATATGCAAATTTTTAATTTTTATTTTATCTATATTTTCATAGAATATATCATTAATCCTTCTACAACTTTAAAAATTCATAAAATAATCCATACAAAGGGAAGTGGAATTTGTATTTTCATTCACAAGTAACCATTTCAACATTCTCTTTTTATGATTTCGAACTTGTTAATGGCTTGTCGATCTACCAACTCAAGAACCTCATAGGCATAGTTGTTCAGACCGTCAACTTTTGTGAAGTTTGATATTTTGGCGAACAATGAACAAATGAGACATAGTTCATACTTCGACCAAAAAAATTATGCACATCCATACATTAATCAATTTCCAAGTATTTTTGATCTTTACATCGTGCAGTTACGTAACGTAGTTCATGCAAGTTAATATTTTTTATTTCAATGTATTAATCAATTTTTAAATAATTTTAATTTTTACATCACACAGGTACAAGATGTAACAGGCGATAGAAACTGTGGATTTCGAGCGACAGCTGTTTGTCTCGGTCGCCACGAAGATAAATGGCCATCTATTCGATATGATTTAACGGAGAAGTTAAACATGTACAAAACAAAATATCTCGAGGTGTGTGGCATTGAACTACAGTATCAGCTTTATAACCCCTTGAACTTCTTTGAGCTGGATTCATTTGCACCAAATAAACATTGGATGGATGTTTTTAAAACGGGCTTGTTGATTGCTTCAAGATGCAATGTGATACTACATTCTTTAACAACTATAGGTAGTTTGACACTATTCCCACTTTGATCTAGTCCTCCGCCGTGGTATGAACATGTTGATTTTACAATTGGGTACATTAACGATAATCATTATGTCAAAATAATTTTGGCAAAAGGGCACCCGATGTCTTCTATCGTGCCAAATTGGTTTCGTTTCACATATAATTACGCAACCACATGGGCTACTCCGTACATGACCCAAGTAAATAAGTACGAGCAACTGTTATCTATTAATCGTACTACGAAATTTATTTCACTTGATTGAGTTATAATATTTTCAGACTTTGTCTACTTTATTTGTTGATTTATCAATTAACTTATTTTGATAATCTTTTTTGTATTAAATTATTTTATCTTTGTAGCTTTAAATATTTATTTAAAAAATACATATATAAATTATTAATTAATTAAAACGTTAA